CCAGCCACTGCCGCAGCAGCAAAAAGTGCGCCAATAATCAAGACTCGTCGAATTAGCAGCGAACAGCAGCCACGTGCTGTGTAGTAGATGTTAATACCTGCCGCGTGGACTGCTGCTGCTGCTGCACAGCTTCACGGGGCTAGCGCGCGAGCTCGATGATTCGACGTGATGAATTGCGCTCGTGTCAGAGCTCAATTCAATTATTTTTTTTTCCTCTTCGACACCGCGCACGGCATCGAGAAAAAAGTCCGTTTCACTCCCCGGTATTATAATCGAACGACGCGCTTCCACCGTTCGATTTTGCTAACGCGCGTTGTGCTTGGCGGTCGGCACTTATGGTGGTAATAGTGTGCGAAAAAATCTCGACTGTGGGAATCTCGAAGCTGTTTCACGATCTCGATGCGCGCCTGCCTCCGAAAGATATCGAGTTGAACCGCGACGCGAAATTTTCTTTCCCAAGCACGATGATACGCGTACTCGTGTGAAAATCAAATGCAGCTTTATTAAACTTACTATTGCAGATCAATGTCTCAATTGTATCGAAAAATACAACCTTGGTTCTCTCCGTCCGAGGAGGATAAGTTGCAAACCGAGATTCTTTGCAACACTTATTTTCAATTAAGTATTTCATGTCATTCAACCCGTCCATGCATCTAAAAATGTAGAAATTTTATCAAGTAATTATTAAACAAAGTATATTTTTAATGGCTATTATTTCATCGAGAAGAATTCTACTCGTAAGATAATTTTATCAAGCCCTATCGAGCGATCCACAGTGTAAAAACTCGTAAAGGTTTTTCAAAAAAATCTCGCACTCACATCCAAACAAAAAGAATTAAAAAACGATCACTCCATAAAAAGTGCATTAAATCGAGTTTACACGCAAACAGGGAGGGGCCGCGTACATGGTGCGTTCTTTGTTGGTCGAGAATCTTACTGTTAGAGTGTTACATGGCACTCGTACTTTTTACGAGGATACACTTACGCATGTCCATGTGCGCGCGTGCTCACACATACTCACATGCAGCAATGTATATCAATTAAAATATATACACACGTTTACTTGATTCATTGTTTAAAGGGCAGCCGCTCGCGCGCTCCAAAACATTAAAAAGCAGGCATCTTTTACAAAGACCTCCCTCGAGACTGGCATCCAATGAGCATGCCGAACCGATCGCCTCTTCCTTTTTCGTACTTATATATATCTTTTATTTCAACTCTCCGCTTGTTCTCCGCTGGAGCCGTGAGCGCGCGCCGATAGAGTGGGAGATCTATAATACACATTTACAATGCAATGCAGAAAATTGCCGTTGCCATTGTAAAAACTATTAAAAAAAAAACATTTAAAAAAAACTAATCTCTCGCGACGAGGCCTCGCACGGCACGTCTCGTAGCGCTGAAATATGCGCTCGCGCGTTTATGTACACGTGATGATATGTAAAAGCGGCGGTTCCTACATGTATAAATGGATGCACGTATGATCGGCGGTCGGTCGGGCGCGCGCGCACGCGAGTGATCACCGCTCGCAACTACGAAGTTGAGAATCAATTTGAGGCACGTATCGCGTCCGTATATGTACGTATATAAATGCGCCACGAGTGCGATTGTTGCATACGGTTCATATGCATGCGGAGTCGCGCGGGGCACTACACACGCAGCTGCGCGTGAGCGTGATTGAGCGGCGAGAACGTGTGATGTATGTGCATAAGCGCATCATCGTGTACTGCCGCATCAACGTGTGCACATCATTATGTCGAGCGAATGGGTAGCGATTTTCTTTCATTTTTATCATTATTTTTATTTATTTTTTTCATCCAGTCCCTATGGTGCGGAGGCGATCGCTTTTACGAGGCACACAACTGGTTCAAATTGATGCTACGTATAGATCGTTGCGGCGAGAGACGATCGCGAGCGAGAACAATTTTGGCTTGCGAAGAGAGAGAGAGAGAAATGTTTGGAGGCTTTATCGTTCGAGCCGATGTGCTTTATAAACTCTCTGCGGCGAATTCAATCAGACCGACGATACCAATCTGCTCCGAAATAATGATATACTTGGTTAGGAGGCCGTAATTTTGTCGTGAAAAAAGCCTCGATTTTCTCGATTATAATATTGTCTCGTTAATGACGAACCGTGAATGAGTTAATTCGTTTTTAGCAAGTACAAGTGTCACAGTACTGACGAGGTAAAAAACAAAAAGGATTCGACAACGAGCCGACAAAAAAACGGCGCGTGAGAACGCGCAAAAGAAAATAAGAGGATCGTACGATCGTTGCATTAGTCACAGACGGAAGGAGTGTTATAACTCGAGCCATGGCAATTGTTGCGGCAAAAAAAGTGCTCGAGTTCTCACTTCGGAAGGTAGTAGGGCATGCATTTTGTTCGACGACGAGATCCCCATTATGTATTTACAACGGCGCTGCAATTGTGAATAATGCGCCTAATTAAGCTTTTGTTCTCATTACTTTTTCATTCGAATGTTCGGATTAAATTCTCAAAACACATAGGCAATTTATGTAAATTCAAACGAGTTTAAATATTCATAAAAATGTTTATAAAGAGACCCGCGCGTTCTCGCGGCGAAATCCATTAAAAGTTATAAAAATTCCTTGCGCCACGATTCTTGCAATAGTCAAACTTTGTTTCCCCATAATGGATCCGTCTCTATGGTCTTGCCAACCGCACGCACGCAGCAACTTTTCATCCTCTCTCTTTCTCTTTCTCTCGTTCTCTCGCGATCAATTTAACCGGTGAACGTATATATCGCGTCTCTTTACCGCAACTTCCCTCTCTCACCCCCCTACGCGTAACCGTATTAATATTTTTCCTTCCTGCGACGAAAAAACATAGAGAGAGAGAGGAAAAGAAGAAGAAAAAAATTCTGCAAACTTTTTACTTTGCGCGCGCAAAGAACAAAAGTTTTGTTTTCTCTCACTCGTCGCAAACTCGCGTTTGCGGCTTAACGAAGTAGCGAAGAATTTACATACGTACATACACGCCCTCGCAGCCAATCTGCAGCCAGTCGTCGTTGTATACAATACTATATAGAAGCAGTGGTGCGCGCGGGGCAGCTTAACACAAGTAGAAACTCTGCTTGTGCGGGGTCGTCGTCGCGTGTTAGCTAACTTTAATAATTGATTAACCGGACTCTCGTTAATACCGCTTTGCATGTATCGTATGCGCGATAAACTTCGGTGGATAATGTATGCGCTCCTCCGACGGCCGGTACGTGTGCACACGTATAGTCTGTGGTTGCGATGGACGACGACGTAACGTAGCGCTTGCTTTTTTTTTCGTTTTCATTTTTTGTTCTTTTATTCTTCGCGCATCTTTACGTGCGAAAGACGAACGAATCGTATGCATAAAGTACACGTCTCGAGCCGACTTGGAGCATGTCTCTTTGCAGCTGTATACATGGAAAAAGATCGTATGCACTGCGCGATGTTGACTTCCAAATTGATTTGAACTCGGAATAGGTGAACGTACTCGTCTCTTTTTTTCTTTCGTCTTCATCTCTCCCCCGTGAAAGTGCGCAACAAATCGTGAATCGAGAAAGTACACGAATGCGCGCGCGCGCGATACATCGGCGCCAAATTGCTACACATACTCACGTCTTTTCTTCGTTAAATAATGCGCCGTGCGCATTATGCATCATTTATCGTGTATCGTCCTACGTTGTATACGTGCTAGATACGGTGTATTTTATTTCTGTCTGTGTTTTTTTTTCCTGTTTCACGTGATATAAGATTTTTGCAGCGCGGCTCGCCGGTGAATTACGGAAAGCGAGAGAAAGACATCTATATTGCATTAACTATGTCGGTATAAACATCACGCGCATCGGCGGCTATTATATTATATCGGCCCGGTAATAATACGCCTTACATACGTGTACACCGTGTGTATAGTGTCTCTCTTACCCCAGCTAGAACCTATGTCGATGGATATTTATATTTCAAATGTACTAAAGCTCCACGTATTTAATCATATGAGGTGAGACTCTGAATTATTTAGCGAGTGTATGTACAACCGAGAGAACCATACATATGTATTTACTACACTTTTAGACGATTTTATTCCCAACTATTGACTGCTCAGAATACAGTCCAAGCCAAAGATTTCAATATACGATTGAAAAAATGAAAATCAAATTGTAATGAAAAAATGAAATATTATTACACAATAAAAAGTCTCTGTTGCAGAATGTTGACCAAAGCATACAGCGATGACGGTCTATTCGCGCCGACTAGCGTGGGGCGCGTCAACTAATTTCTCTCTCTCTCTCGCGCGTCTTCTCCATCCCCCTGTAAAAGTGTATATAAACGCACGTGTATATATATTATATGCAGGTATAAAAAAAGCCGAAGCCTTCCCCACTCGGTGGGATCCGGGCCTGATACGCGATTGGTTAACGATCCTGCCGAGATATCGCGCTTTGACTCCGCCTCTATTCCGCTTTAACATTCAAACCCATGTACGCGATCCCTTTCTCCTCGTGCTTCGTATATAGCCAAGCTCGTGCGCGCACACATACACACGCTCACACCCATATACAGATATACGTTTATAACGAGGCAGTAAAGTTTGTACGCGTAACGCATCGATCCCCGTCTCTTTTGACTTGCTGCTGCTGCTGCTGCTGCTGCCGTTGCAGAATTTAACGAGCGGCCCTTCATAAAAGGCAGAGATTGATTAAATTACGCATAAATTGTCTTTTTAAAGGGAACGCGCAAAGGCGAAAGACGACGATGATCATCATGATGATGATAATAATGTGCTTGTACAAGAGATGTGCTGAATCATTATCGGGCATTTTTTCTCCATGAGATCTGCTTTTTGCATGTATTCGCGCATATTATCCGTACATTAAAACTAGATGATTGCACCTATAATGAGCCATATTAACGAAAATTCTTCGTTTATATATTTTGATTTTTTTCTCGTCTATTGGATTTTTCTTAGGATGAGTGTGGAATAGGAAGTAAAATTAAAAAACCAACAACCATTTACGTTTCGATTTGTATTTATTACAATTATTGGATCGTGTTCAACATATTTCTCGTGTATAACAACGCTTTCACTCGTAAATATTCGGTATTATACATTATTAAAGTCAGCTGCGAATTACCCGCATGAATCATAAATGTATAAAAGGGGAAGGATGAAAGGACATGAAGTACAGAACTCTTTAACCCACGAAATGCCTTTTGAGTATTTTTATTCTCACTGACATTTTTCGGTAAAATTCAATTTTTCGCGTTCGGAGCATTAAGTTTGTACCTTGCTTCAAAAGATAAAAATTACTCTGACACTTGCATTAGTAAAAATGGATAAAAACGCGATAATTTCATTTTGATTCGAGCATTTCGTTTGGTCAAAAGAGTTTTAGTTTGCTTGGAAGAATCGAATTTTCAATCGAACACATGTTAATTGTAAAATTTTCATCGATCCCTAGTTTTTCTTTTAAAATTTTTTAAAAAATTGATTAGAATAGTGTGATTCAAAACAGTTTTTTTATTGTTATCGATTCTACGTCAGAAAAATAGCCAACGAGTAAGACCATATTATGCTTCGTTATTGTTTGCTAAATCGAAGGAAGTGGGTATTTTAATTTTTCGACTTCATCAATCTGAACAATTGGATTTTACTCAAATATTTTAATATGCACCATCGAATTCATTCAGCAAACACAATATTTATGTTAGAAAAATGATGTTATTTATCCTTCGTGTATGAAACCTTTGCGTCATACATTGCAATACATAACGTCGAAGTATTTTTATGGAATACCTAGGCACTATTAATCGTGATTTATTGAGTAGGCTCGATTAAAAGGTGCGCATGTATTACTCTTTTTTAATTTACGTTCAATCACTCATTTTCGATTCATAAAATGTATACATATATTTTGTAAGAAAATTATTTTTGCCAGAATCATATTAGTAAAAATCATTTGCTTTATGTGTATTTTTTGTCAGCATATTTAAAATGAATAATAGATGTGATTATAAACGTCATACGCAAAGGCATAATTTTTAGTACAAAAACTACAATATTAAAATGCAATTTTTCATTGTAGAATATTTATATTTAAATCGATATTTTTCTCAGAAAAATATTTTTATATAGTAATGAAAATAAAAGAAAGTATGTGAGCGATCGGTAATGATTCTTATATAAAAAAAGAAATGATAATGATGCACATGGTTATTATGCACGAAACGAAATTTATATTATTAAAGTAGTTGTGCGCTGTTCACTTTGTCGCGTATTAAGAATTAAATAATTGTTTTATATTAAAAACAATAAACTATAAATATCGGTCAATTGATCAAAAATAGATAAGTCATATTCGAGACCAAAATAGATACAACAAGTAATCAATCATATTAAACAAAATAATAATTATACAACATCAATAGTTCAAATTTTTCATAATTTTTTTTTCATTGGATGATTTATTAGCACGTTAAAATAATACTACTTGCACCGCAAAAGTTTAAAAATGGGCCTAATTGATGATTCAACAAAAAGGCATGACAAATATAAAGACTAGAAAAGCTCCCTTTTGTTTCTAAATACAATACGTGGTATATGTATATATAGTTACAAAATTATTATCCTTGAAATTTTTTTGTATGCACCACATGTTTTTCGTTTTTCCATGAAGAAGAAATTATGTGTAAATACGATTTTAAAATCGTTAACAACCTTTATTAAATTCAACGTTCGGTGTGTAAAGAGCGTCACGAACGAACCTTGCAGGATCGGACTTCAGGCCTAAGCCGCAACTTCTTATCTCTTTTCCAAAGCATGAACTCGGTAGTCTCACTGGGGTAGATGTGCGAGTTCGTGAAAGATAATTCTTATTGAAATCCGTCCTGAGGTAATTCGTCATCATCACCGGTCGTCGTTGTGGCTCGATCCGCAGGTCGAGCAGTCGCTGCGGTTCTTCCGGAGTACTAACAAATCCGCACTGGTGCCTTTCTCTTCAGTTCCGGAGTCTTAACGTAAGTCCTGTGAAATTACAAAATAAATTGTAGTTGCACACAAGCACGCACACACGCTGCAGGGTCGAGATCATTTTGTTGCAAACTTTGTTATTTTAAAGCAACGAGGGGTAGACAAGAAAAACGTAAAAGTATTCGCGTGATCTAACGAGATATGCTCTCGATTGTTTTCATTCGATTTTTGCCGAGGAGATCGTTGAATAGAAGAAAGTAGTTTTTCTTTCTTTCGAACGTACACACAGTATATATATTACTATATGATGGAAGATGCGCCCTTGATTCCTTGCAATTATTATTATTCGGCCCAATTCAAAAGTAAAGCTTTTTATCTTCGTTAAAATAGGCGACGAGCGTATGTCGTTTGAATGAATCAAAAATTGCGTTTACTACGTTAAAATAAGCACTCGACTTTTCTCGAGTAACTATCAAAACGAATTATGTCAAACAGAAATAAAAACATTTGAATCTTGATCAAGTATCGTTTCGTAGATAAGACTCTTTTGGTCGATTGTTCAATGTCATCATAAACTGTTTTCATGTAAAAATAGAAAACCTCAGATTGAATATTGATATAAAATCTAAACACGCTACACTCTCTAATATAATTATTTTTTCTAGCCATAAATACTAAATGTTAATGTAAATTCATAAACTATGCAGGTAAATATGTGTCTATATCTATGCAAAATTAGTATTTGAATTTTCTAAAGGGTTATGCGGTTTAATTTAAAAAAATATACAGGGTGACGGGAGCATTACATGCAGAGACCAGTCAGGTTTTTATAAATGAACCAAAGGAAACAATTTTATTTAAGCATAATTCATTGTCAAATTAAATTTTTTAGAGGTGGCTTACCTATCCTACTCGCTCAGAACAGGAAGTAGGGACCTTCGCGGTCAAAAGAAAAGTATATTAAATAATGTTTGTTTTTTTCACTTTTTATCTTAACATATTAATAATGGTTTTTAAATGTTCTCTTATTTTTTTTTTCTTTTTTTAATTAAAATTTTTAACATTTGTTTATAACTCAGACATCATTTTTTAAAGAATAATAATAAGGTTTTCAAACCACACTTAATTCTATTAACAACTAACCAATTTTTTATGTAAAAATATTGAGAGAAAGAAAAAAAGAAATGGAAACAATAATAATATAAAAAATAAGATAATTAACATTAATTTCCAACTAGTGACAGTTATAAGAATAAAAAAAAATCGCTCATACTCACAGTTCTATGCTTTGAATGGTCGAGGACGAGCACATCGTGTCGACTTTGACGTGACAGTGCTTGTGACATTTCATCAGGCAGTCTCGGCACTCGTATCCTTGTTTGCCTAATCGTCTCGCTAACGTGCGCTTGCACACTTCACATACCGTGCCGCTGCATTGAATATACACACAAGCACATCGTAAACACGAAGTTTCATTTTGACCAAGAGTAAAAGAGATAAATTATGATCGTTTTCTTTGTTTTTTTCCTTACCCAGGCATGTGTTTGGCGATAAATGTATGATCATTGAATATATGAAGTTTCGTTCCTTTTTTCTTCCACTTGCTTTTCTGAGCTAACGATAATGGCACGAGATAGTGTCTGCATAAAAATGATTCATTCAATTAAAGCATTCAGACACTATTTTATAATATTACGACAAAATCATACTTTCGAATTCCATTTTCAAGAGTTTCTAATACTAATGTGGATGCTTCGTTTATGTAGGTTTTTGTTGATGTGCCGCTGATTGCCGACGCTTCGCTTATGCTCGACCTTCTCGAATGTTCATCTCGACCTATAAATAAATTGCCAATGAGTTTATTCAATTTGAATGTCTTTAATGATAGTATCAAAACAACATGATGAATTTGATGCATTTTAAAAACAAAACCGTACGAGATTAGTTGTTTAATTTTCCATGCAAATTTAATTTTAAGCTAGCTACTAATTGAAAATTAGTATTGTTAATAATCATTTCCATTAGAGTCAAGTGCACATTCATAGATTTTCGTTAATACATCTCAAGATTGAAATAAAATACGAGTGATGCTAGTAATCTATACATATTTATTCAATGTTTTATGTTTAATTTGTTTATCGTACGCAAGCGTTCTTATATGAAAAAATATCTCTTACAAAACTAGAAAAAATGCATGTCTTATGTATGCGCCGCAATCGACGCGCATCTTTTGCATAATCAAACAAGTTTCTGACTCGAATACTTCCTTAGACGTGTGCTTATGGAAATGATCCACCCTTGTGAAATTTAAGCAAAAAAGCTATTATTTTCTGGCACGGAGTGACTGCAAAAATCATAGCTGAATAAAGAGTTGGCTGAGAAAGCGCGTGAAACTCGAGCATAAGCAATTCAAGCCTTTTGTTATGAAAAAATATCGACAATACTCACCGGAACCGGGTTCTTTTGCTCGGTCAGCTGAAATGGACCTTGAGTGCGCTTCCTCGTGACTAGTGTCGCCGTCGGGTCCGATCGATCTGCTTCTCGTTTTCGAACGACTGAGTCTTTTTTTTATAGTGCCGAAAAAGTCTCTGCGTTTTCTTCTCGATCTTCCTCTGTCTCTCAAACCATCGGAATTCGACGAATTTGGTGTGCTGTCTTGTCCCGAAGGTATTGTGTCATGCTAAAATAATAATTTTACATTAATTTTAAAATGCAACAATTCTAATTTTAAGTAGGAATTTTTATCAAACAAGAAATACGCAAGGCCGGTACTTACTTCTGCTGCGAGTTCTTGCCAGCCTCCGTTTTCACTGAGTGTGACCTATTTTATTAGTTCAAAGACAACACAACGCAAAGATAAATCATCGTTTTAGTAATAAATATTGATTTCGTAAAAAATTCATTCGTAATAATAGAATAGTTGTTTTGTATGCACAAAAACTCACCTTGACAACCTGTCGTTCGGCTTGCTAAAAAGACAAAAACGCACACAAATATTATAAAATTCACTCTATTTCACACGAATAAACTTCACACGGTGGGAAAAAATGATGAACTTGAATTCTCACCCTTTGCTGACTATGTACAATTAATGTTCCCTTGTTGCCATTCGAATGTCCAGTTCTATAAGGCGAATCGTCCATTGTGCTGCCATTTGTCATAAAATCTGAAAGATCATTAACAAATCAGTTCTTTTGTCTATTGCCATTGCGTAAGAAACAAGAAATGCGAGAAAACAAAAATGATTGCTTTAAAGCAGCACTAAATCATCGCATTATTGTTTTGTATTAAATCACTTTTGTCTACAGTTATTAGTGGGGATCTTAAAATAACTTTTCAAATATGATTAGACGCTCTACTTCAAAAATAGTGAGAAAAAAACGTGCAAAACATAAAATCACAGCATCAAAATGAAATTTAGCTAATAGGTTGGCTATTTTTTTTAATTATTGAACATTTATGTTCAAAATGATTTTAAATTTCTATACGATTTCACTTGTTTTCATTAATTAACTCTTCAATATCATTACTATTTTAAATGATAAATAAAAATGGATTTTTAAATCATAAAATAAAATTATGAAATACATAATTTTTCGCGCAAAATTAGAAATCTATGCTAAACTTAATCGTCCGACCAACTAACTTATTCACAGGAACATTGGGAAATGCAAAAGGATGCAGGGGTCACACACTTGTAAGTGTTTCTAGTGATTACGCTTCAAAGCCAAAACCAAGGGGCCATTCACTATCATCTAAATCACTCTTCCTTTCTCGTTTTCTTGAAATCAAGGCTTAGTCGATTTATATCGTGTACTAGGATGCAACGATGAGTAGCAGATTTGGCATAGATAAGAGCCGATTTCAAGAGAAACGCACGTCTACTTTTTATGACAATCGTTTTTCTTACAACAGATATTTTATGAAGTTTTTTTATAGTGAAAGTGCATCCGATTATGTGACTTTGAAAATGCAGTTGTTTCATGAATTATAAACAAATTTTCAGTCTCAAATGATTTCGCATGTGTTTTTAACGATGAAATACACACACAAACAAATACAGATGAAACAGAAAAAGATCGACAATATAGATTTAACAAATCGCTGCATATTTTGCTTTAACACTGCTTTTTTTATTCAAAAAAACTCAACTCTTGTATAATTAACTTACATTTGTAAAGTCACGTTAAACTCATCAATCACTGAAATAATCTAATTACAAATCGCATTATGTACAAGTGTTCGTAATCGTATAATATATAAAATAACAGAAAATCGCTTGCGTCGATAAAAAAGTGAACAGCCCCTCGTGGGCCTCTTGGATATTCATATACACCTTCAAGTAGCTTTAACAAGTAAACAACCAAGTCTCGTACTGAAAAATTCTACCGTAATTGCAATAACCAAAAATGAAATCACCCATTCAAGAGATAAAAAAAAATCGAAAAAAGGTCAGTCGTTACAATTACAATTATAATGCTGGAGGCATGGAGGCAGGCGTGTAATAGTCACCAAATCATACATCATCGAGATAATAATTACACGCGCGTATTCGTGAAAAAAAAAGGAACAATCTCTCAGGTGGATAATTTTTGCGTGCGACATTGTCAAAAATACATTAAAAAAAGGAGGCAAATTTCTTTTTTTTTTTTTGTTTTTTAGCACGCAGCAGGGGTTATGTCTCTTACTAAACGATAGCATCGATATTTACCGCCTCCCGGTTCGTTCGTAGAGTCGTACAAAATAAGTGTGCTGTTACCGTTGTTATAATTTAGGCTACTATTGTTGCCCAACATTGTGTTGGTCGGATTGTAGGTGCGCGTCGGCGAAGACGGCTGATTATGATGATGCTGCTGCCTGATCGTTTCCTTCACTTTGTAAGGCTTGCTGCCAATTTGCGGCACATCCGCGCCTTCGATGAACAAAAACTATATACGCACAAGCAGAAAGAAAAACATGCATATTATTTATTAATTTTGAACATATCTATGTGTGCATACGATACAAATAGAAAAGTTCGTACTTCGACCGTTAATTGGCCGGACACTTCATCCTGCTCGTAGGGTCTCGCTTGCAGCGGAATGATTTGTCTCTGGCTCGGATTAGCCAAGAGCTCTTCTATGCCCACTATGCCAAGACCCAGAAGTTTTTCCTCCTTATCCAGTTTGTCGTAAACTTCGAGCAAGAGTTCGGTCGTATTCGGACTGACATCGCTGCAAACAAAAATACATAGAATCATTTACAAAGCTGGTTCGAATTCGTAGATGAGAATAATTTTATTCCAAAATGTCAATTTACAATAGAAAAGCCTCGTTCCAGACGGGGTTTTTCGTGTCCTTTTTGTGGGCCGTTTGGTGACGCTGGGGCGGATCGTCGAGCTCGACGACGCAGAACGGCTCGTAGCAATCGGCTTGGCCGGCCAGATCGGTGGCACGCACGACTTTCACCAGGAGTCTACGGTCACCGGGCGCGTACTGCTGCACCATCGGCTGTACCGACGAGCCGACGTGTCTCTGACGGTTAACACCTGACGCGTTCGAGCCTTGAGCCTGAAAAAAAGACAAATTTATTAATAATTAGGTCGTGCGTACTTTATTGTAGAAATTCTGGTATATACGGTGCTGCAATTTCACATTGTGGTGAGGTGTATTTCATTCCTGTGAGTGTGGCTCACATCAAGATAACACATAGGTTCATTATTTAGATTAAGTAGAATGACAGATGTGTTGTAAGGGTGACCATAGTTTTGTGCACTTCGTGTAATTGAAAATACAGTATTAATCACGTGAAATAGGGATAATAAACAATACGACTACTACTTAAAAATTCAAGATACACATTTGGAGAAGAGTGAGATAAAAAACTGCAAATTACGAATTTCAAATTTATAGAAAAATGGGGAGAAAAAAGAAAGGAGTTGTAGAAGGCGAGAAGATTTTGTCGAAGTGCGTGTATCCTTTTTACTCACCATCTTCAATCTTATGTGAGCCTTGAGAACAATACAAAATATGATTAGTCATCTGATCAATTGACCCGTTTTTAATATTTAAATAAAAATAATTCAAGGATAATATCCTGCGAGCGCGACTACATTGTTCACGTATTAAAAGAAAAAGCGTGCGCATCTTTGCGAACGAACGTGAAACGCGTTTTTTTTTTTTTTTTTCATGAAAAATACATTAAAACGATGAACAACGATATGAGCGTGACTGAAATGTATGGTAATAATGCAAGATCATTTACCAAGCTGTCGTAGTGCATAGGCATGGAGTAGCCAGTCGGCGCGGGCTCGCGCCACAGCCGCGGACAATTGGCGTAGCCGGAAAGATTGAGATGCAGATTCGTGCCTCGTATGGCGGACACGACAATGTCCGTCAGCAGCTCCTGCAGATGGTTCTCCTCGTTATCCTTTTTGATGGCTCCCACCGGCGCCAACGAGACTTTTACCTACGAGACGCGATGACCATTTTATTAAGCAGAAATTTGATGGAAAACATGTATATGAGGAGCTCTCGTTGTTACCTCGGGCCATCCGTCGCATTTTAGATCGACCAGAAGCTTCTCTGTGATGCAGACGACGTTCAAGCGAGCCCGGAATCGATTGACATTGACTCGATAGTGACTGGTTTCGATTTTGTCGCCGTGTTGACGGAACGCCTTCAGCTGCAGGGCCGGTGTCGCTTCGCAGTCGCACGTTATCGTCTGTGGGTATCACGAAAAAAAAGCGTTAACGACGACACGCGTTCATCGCGATGTGAAAATACGTCGATGCGTGACGTGACTTACCACATCGTCTTTGGAATCGCATTCGCAAAAGATGTTGGACAAGGTCGGCGGATGCGTTTCCGGCAGGACTCGCACGAACTCGACTCCGATGCCGTGCTGGAAATTAAAAGCACGCAAGCTTGTACATAAGTATCTAATCAAGAAACTTTGAAAGCTCTAAAAACAAAAACAAAGAACTGAACTCGTGAATTCTTTGCCAGGGCTCAACATCATTGTAAATTGAGTACATAGTAGGCACCGCGCGTCGCTATTTCGAACGCCCCCAGTCGAGAGACACGTTAAGAATATAGCAAAGTTCATCAGCAGCGAATATGTCAAAAGCAAACACAGCGTTGACCGATATGCTATGTTTAATTTTTAAAGAAAACTTGTAAGATACATTTTCATGTGTTAAGCATCATACGACAAGTCGCGGTGTACAGCGCCGGTCCGTGTACATAGAGAAATCAAACCCATCGCTGCTCTAAATATACACACCAACGCCTCTATGAATAGAAGCCGACTTGTATTATTTTCGGATGTACACAGTACGTGTCTCTGTACACGCGTAAATGCAGAAGATTAAGTTTTGAAAATTTCTGCCATTTCGCGAAAACTTTTCGATCGAAACTTTGACGCGCTAACGGCGATCTAATTTGCATCGAGGCGTAACGCGATCGAGTTTCGAGCGAGGTAGAGTTTAAAGCGTGTACCGTTGCATACGCATAGGAGAGCGCAGAGCTTTTTTCGTCGATGACGCCGGCTCGAGCGCGCGCGCCTGTACGGCAGACATGCCGCGTTGACGTCGACAGTGACCCAGCTGGAAGACAGCTTTAAAATCGCTCTCTCGAAGTAGCAGCGGCGCCTAAGCTCAATATTTCCGTCCAACTTACAAGCTATTGATTTTCCACATGTGTATGTGTTTGTTATTGTTCCGTCTCTCTGTACGTACCCCAGAGCAGTATACGCGGCCCTCATATAAAATACACATAGCACATTACGTAATTCTGTCGATCGTAGGCACGCGATAATTATGTGCCTCGGAGATAATAATTTCTAGCGAGTACTTGGAGCTTCCATCTGGCGTCGTTACGCAATAGCTCTTTAATGCTACACTTACGTGTGTTGTGTACTAGTCTATGTTTATGTTATAAAATAAAACGACGCTAATGAGCGGCTGAAACTTCGCTGTCGTGGATCATTAATTTTATGCCCCGCGCGCGTGCATAATGCAAAAACCTTGACACCGTAGCACGTGTGTAAATGTGTGTACGTGTGTGTGTGTGCGCGCGCGCGCGATGACATCTCCATATGTAAACACGAGTCGGTCGTTGTACACATTTATAACGATTTGTTTTGACAGTTTCGAGCGAGCAAAAAAAGCTTTCGAGAAATATTTATGATTTTTCGATCTGTCTCGCAGCTGCGGCGGCTACTGCTACTGCGTCTCGATAAACGACCTTCTTAAACACTAGAGGCGTGGTGTGCAAAGAGCGAATTTCGCTGCACCGTGACACCTGTTGAGGTCGAGTGATATTTTATGCCCCTGTACGCGTATGTATACAAACGCGCTATGCAGCGCACGTGTTACAAGCCCTCGCTACTATTTTGCTGTACATCGAGCCAGTCCAAATTCACTTTCTTTTTTCGATTTTAGATCAATTGTAAAAAAAAATGCAGATAATATTATGAAGGCAAACCTCGGCGATGGACGAGGCGACAAAGTCGTTGAGCGAGTCCACCCAGACGGCGAGCAGCTCGTCGAGCACCACGAGATCCGTGTGCAGCCAGTAGATCATCTCGTTGGTCCAGCGCACGGCCTCGTGATCGGCGCCGGTGGCGTGCGGCAGCATCATCGACCTGGCCGCGGCGGCGCCGCGCTGCGGGCTCGGCAGCACGCCGGAATTCTTGCGCGTCACCCGCTTACGCAGCGGCGGCGTGGGCGACACGTAGCCTCCGCTGCTGCTGCCCGGGACGCCCAGGTAGCCCGAGCCCGCCGGTGATAGGCTGCCTCCTGGATAAGCATTAAAAATACAACATTTATTTATTCGTTATTGTTGTGCTTTTTTCTCGCGAGCACAGAGCACATTTTTACGTAGATTGTTTTGACATTGACAAAGTATAATTTGAAGTACATATCGTAACGAAACGCACGACGAAAGCACGTGAGTTTGTAGAATGGCGAAATCAAGCGTCAGATTTATAGCGATCGGAGTCACGTGTTCGAAACGTTATATGCGAGATATTTTATTTCAATACCTTGAGCGCGCAATTAAAATTAATAAAAATATCTAATTGAAATTCGAAGCCGAGCGCGCGTTCGATACAATAAGCGCATTGTTTTACGCATGTCATATATAGAAGATGCAAAAGTCGACGGGTAAATGTATAGCTATAGCAGTAGTGCAGCAGCATAATTGGCACTGTCGCTGCCGGGTACGAAATACAATACATCTATATCATTTGTGTGTATTCGTGAAAGCAGCCGTGATGCTGCACGCGCGCACACGCGACGTGTCGCGGCGCGAGGTCAGTGAGCTTGAATCCGACGAGCGTCTCTCTCTCTCTCGGTGCGGTGGCAAACAATTCACGATTTCACGCACTGAACTTTTAAAAGGTTTCGGTTTTGCACAGTGGCAGTCGTTGTTGTCGTGTGTCAGCGTGAAAATCTAGATGTAAAAGCTATCGTCCGTGTGTGTGTGTGTGTGTGTGTGGCCCGCGTGCGTCGAGGTAATCTCGATCGAGCGCCAAAAATTCACTTCCTCCTTGGCACTGCTCGCTGCACTACTTTATAGATATGTAATACGTGCACAGACACGAGAAACTCGCGGCTGGTCGGATGTCCAAATGTAATGTAGAGAGAAAAAAAGGCACGCAACAACGCGACGCGTCCAATTTTCGTATATGCTCGTCGTGCGAAAGAAGAAAAAAAAAAGAAAAAGAAAAGAACTGAGTGAAATCGTCGTACCGTGACTCCTCGCTGCATTGGCCGATCTCGATCTCGCGACGGCCGCTGCGACGCCGGTGGCGGAAGCTCCAGCCCCGAGCACCATGACATTTTCACTGATCGAGTGCAGACTGGCCGTGAGCGCGGAAGTCGTTCCATCCTTGGAGGAAGCCGAACCCGCCGCTCCTGCCGCGCGCTTCGGTCCAGCGTGGCTCGCTGCAGCGCTGCTAGTACTGCCACCGGTCGTTGCAGTGGCGCTGCTACTGGTCGTCGTCGATGCTGCTGCTGCTGCTACCGTAGCCGTAGATGTTGCTGCCGCTGGATGATGGACTCCGGCCTGGTGCTTTTTGCGCTGGTGCACGCGATTGTAGATGAATTTACCGACGCAGAGTATGACGAGGCCAAGCAGCATCCAGCCAAAGATGAGCATCGACAGGGTGTCCATTGTCGAGTCGGCGGACGCAGAGTCGAAACTGCATATCAGATCGTCCACCCGCTCGGCTAGATCGGCCATATTGCCCCATCCTCCCGTTAGCCAGGTCCAATTGGATGAGCCGAGCATTCCTCTTCCGGGCTATTTTCTTCGTCGCCGAGACGCCAGAGCGGGCTTGCCCCCACCCCCGGCTTTTGCCCAGTAATCTATGCTCTTTTCGTCGTCACGACGGCGGCCGCAACAAACGACGCTTCTTTGCTCCCCCGCCAGAAACCGAAGCGAGCTTTATTTATAACGCACTCATACGACCTGGGCCAAAGCTCTCTAATGCTGCTGCTGCTGCTGCTGCTGTTGCTTTCAAGCTCTATAGCGGGCTTCTGTGTGTTTGCTTGCGCAACGAGCCCCCCGAGCTTTTCCGCTGAGGTAGAGCTACCTTACCACCGTCGATGTAGAAGCAGTTGACTCGACTCGTCGTTTTCTTCTGCCTAAGACGATCGCTAAGAACATGACATGATCGGCTGATGGTTGTCCTAATGACGAGAACAAATAAACAATGCATTGAAAGCTTTGAGCTTTTTATGTTGAATAAAGAATATTTTCTCATTCCATTAACTGAAAGGAATAATGAAATAAGAATTCAAGTCAGCAAGCGACACGCAAACGTAAAGGGGAAAAAATGTGCTTAATTGCTTTTTTACGACGACGACAGAGACGATTCGGTGATCGAGTACAAATTAACGATCGGTGTAGAAAATGATTGCTTTGCACAAAGAGCACGATTTGCATTGAGTGTAGCGTAAAAAAACGAAACTCTTATCAGGTTGCAGCTTTATAGACGTTTATTTTCCAAGTAAAAATTAAGAATTATTCCAAGAAATTATCAAGATGGATTTACCTATTTTTAAACTTAACTAGCCTTGTCTGCGTAGAAAATTGGAAATTTTCATATAGGAGTCACAATGGAAGAATTCTCATGATTATCTATGATTTTAATAATCGCATTACGAAATAAAACTTAAAACGCATTAAACTACAAATTCCTAAAATTGACAGATATATACTATAATCAGTTAAACGCTCGAATAAATTAAAATTTTATAGATAAGAGTACGATTACCTTAATAAGTAAGTCGTGATCTAGCTGAAGCCCGGAAGTTTACAATGTACATGCAACACTCGCGAGGGCAGAGGTGTCTATGATGAACTGCGAAAAATAAAATCAAATTAAAGCTTATTGACAAAGCGTCGTTAAAACGATGACCGATCGAGACACGAGAGCGCGACGCAGCTGCTATTATTGCCGTATGCAAGTGTAAATGTACAAATGTCCACGTATAACCGATCAACTGAACTACAACCTTGCAACGGGGCTCGTTTCTTCTTCGATCATCGTCTACATTACATAAAATGCTGATCAAAAATCGCACTGACATCGATCACCTCTCTCGGTATATACTTGAAAAAAAATCAAACTAGAGGTCTCGAGGGGAAAAAAACAATGCCGCCTATGTATAAGTATTTATTGCCTATACAAAATTACCGATAACAGATTATAAATTGTGTCAGTCTATATGATTATTCCGTGTATACTCACAGACGCACGCATACAGAGGCACGAATATAATATACCACTACATTATTCACGCATCGTGGGCAATAGGAGCGAGCTGCGGCAGTTTATATCGTATCTCTAGCGGCATATTGTATCATCCTATTACGGGGGATTGAGGCGAGCTTTATAGTACGGGGTTGAACCGGAAGAAAAGCCGCGCTCGAGTAACAACGCGGCTTCTTTCTCAGCCCAGGTGTATACAGTGCGGGATGCAGAGCTCCGTTCATAATGCAATTGTTCGAACCGTGTTAATCTTATGTGGAAAATTCAACGGAAATTCGATGATTTTGTAATAAACATGCGTACATCTAGTAAATATTAATAATTACACGCGAAACAGAGTAAACAAAGTGAGTGCGTGTATACCGCGTTACGTTTGTACCGTAGTCTCGATTCAATCAGCGGGTCTTTACACTGCATACAAGCTCACAATATGCATATATACGCGCGCAGTTCGATAAGCGTTCAATTACCACACGTGCTACGTGGAGTACGCGTATATCTCATCGATGAACCAATTAACCCGATCTCGATGGATAGGATATTGAAACTTTGCAATAAGTATATATTGACGTTGTTGCTTGTTCAGCAAGGGAAGGATTTGATTCGAAAGCGCTCGACTCTGCTACTACACGTTTCCAGTTTTTGCGACCTCTTTTGCATACAATATAACATCCGAAATCGATAAATAAGGGCGCCATCCTTTATAAATAAATGCGCGAGAGTATGGGAGAGGAAACGAGCTGGCATCGATTTCTCATTTTCCTAATACACGAGCGATTCGTTCCAGCGGCTATAAATGAAAATCCGCGTATGAATTATTTTTCAAATTCCTCGATATGACGAATGGTTTTATTCGATGTGTTATACCGCACCTTATATTACTATGCCCACGCGAACACCGCATTAAGTTTCATAAACATACATTGCGCACACGTGTGCGAGCACAGCTGAGTAGATACTTTATGTGGCTAACCCGTCAGCCAATACGTGGATGGAAATAGAAATCGAGTTTGGAGTTTCCGACTGTTATGAGCGAATATAGGGCCTACTTGCCCTATACGCACGATGGAAAAGTAACAACTTTACCACCTCGCATTGATCGATACACAATATTTGTTGAATGACATCGTTCGTTGTCGCGTTTTTAGACGGGGCAAATAGAAGGAGCTACGGCACGTGTAGATCGTGCGGTCTACTATGAAATCTTGAAAACTTTTCTCGCTTGAAAACAAAATTACTTGAAACTCTGGTAATCTGATCTTATCGCGATGTTCAACCGAAGGCAGCTTTTTTTTAAAAATGTTAATAACAGCGGCCATTTTACAATTTTGGCAATGTTAAGATAAAAACTATCTATCAAGGAAAATTAAAACTGATTTAGTACCCTTTCAACATCTTCTTAAATCATATGTTCATTACTGATACATTCATGCGATGAAAGTGAAAATAAAAAAATTAAATAATTACATGTTGAATTACAGATGCGATGGCAGGAATCGTATCGATACACAGCTGAATTTCTGCACTGCTCTATATTTTAAAAGTTTCCGAGAGTTCATGATCAATGTATAACTAAATGTGTGTCGTGGTGTTTCTCTGCAGACAAAAAAAACACTAGAGTCGTTTTTTTTTTCTGCCGCGTGAACACGGCTTTTGACTCTTGCAGAAACGTCGTGTTTGTATGTATTACGTGTTGTACTTGAGTTTCGGGTCGATTGAGCTTTTTTCCTATAACGAAGACAAAGCGCGCGCGCGTTCTCAAAGCCGACTCTCCGTTCTTCTTCTCTTTCTTCCTATTTTTTTCTTTCTTTATTTGGATAATATCGATTGTTAGTGGGTCGAGACAATCATTACTGAGTGATATCGAAAGCGGGCCAGCGTTTAATCTATCCCACGATTTCGCAGCACGACAGTTTGTACAATATAATCCTATTAAGTCGCGAGAAATTTTCGCGTTATCTCGCGTGCGTTTTTGATAAAGACGCAAAGATGAGGCGCCGGAATCAACGGATTGCATGTTACTCATTTAATGTTTAAGTACGATACGTAACGGGGCAAATTACGATATCGCGCGCGCGTACATTTTTGACGTCTTGCGGCCGATCGAGTCATACCAAACGCAGACAAACTTGTCCGCACCCGAGATCGTGAAGTGCGATAGGTTTATTGTATTGTAATGGGCAATTATCTTCCTTTATCATCGCAGTTCAATTGTGCGGTTAATCTCGCTTCGACACATTGAGCAAGCCGCGTGGCAATCGATTTTATAAAAAACACACATATTGTTGTTACGCTTAGGCATTTTTTTAATACAAAATTTATCACACTCATCTTCCGCTCGTTTTGTGACTAATGTTAGTCCTCTCGTCTACAACACGTGCGATAAAAAAACAAAAGTCATGTCGCGTACTCGACCTTGCCATATCCCACACTCACATGCTCGAATTCATATGTACTTAAAATAAACAAGTTAAAAGGACAGTCACGATGTTTACAAAGCATCTCGCGCTTATCCTCCACCCTCAGCCCGGTTATTGAGTCTTCGCTCGAAACGATGGTGTGCTGCCGGTGTAACGATAATAATCGAGTACTTCTTTCGTAGAGTAAATGTGCTCGCGTTATCGCAACTGTATAGAGGCAGCAAAAAATCTCCTCGATAAATTCAATGAAACGATCCAGAGAGACGCTTACAGCTTACATGGGCGCACACGCTCTCTCGCACACGATTAACGCTCCATTATCGGATTATCGATCAGCCGCTACAGGCGGCCTAATGCGTATGAAATATACATAAACGACACGACTGCGGATTTTTTGTCGACGCCGCTTTTCTGTCACGAATTGCGTGCCAAAGCGCATTGTATGCATACGTCACTTCTTGCTCGAGGGAGTCTGCTGCCTGCATGCGGCATCGATTCCGTGCACGCGTGAAAAGGGTGAAGCCCTCGCTGCAGGCGGCGCTTATACATACATTACATTTTCTGCTGTATTATTCTTCCTGCACGACAGCGAGTACGAGTTCGGTGCTTTTGCACGCAGGATATGCCCGCTATTGTACACGTACCATCAGGACAGACGTCAAACTCTTACCGCGCTTGTTGCTACTGGCTCTCTCTCTCTCTCTTTCTTTCTCTCTTTCTCGACGCGACGCGACCCACCTTGTACGCAGTCACTTTTCTCGTCGAGTTGACAATTATAATATGGACGCGTGCACTCGTATGTACCGTTCGAACTTGGGAGAGTTCGCGAGACTTTTTCTTCTCCATATCGCAGTATCGCACTAGCGTTAGAGCGAAATCCGGCATAACCTAAAACTCAATCAGCTGTGTGTATAAGGAGCTAAATGTCAAGGGAATGATGAAAAATTTACACTGCGCTACATGCACTCACACAGACATACACTCGTACACGCACGCATTCGAAATGCTTCGAAATACGAAAAAGTCAATCGATAACGATGCAAAAAAAAAAGTACGATACATAGTGCACAAACTTTCTCTCGTAAGATCGCGAAAAAGAAAGTTGTAAATCACTCGCGACTCTCTTGAAATCGCAATGTTTTCGGAGACGTGCAAGGCCTCGCAACCACCACCCACGCACTCGAAAATCAGCTCTCTATATCATTTCTCTATCTCTCTTTCTTTTCTCCGTGTAGCAATTGCAAGCACACAATTTTGGCATATATCTGTATACAGAACTTACACTTACTCAGTCGTAGATTGGTATGGAGCTTGAGTTCTTTTTTCTCGTCACGTAGCTGTCAATCGTTTCCGCTTTGTCAAGACTAACAGAGCCTTACGCGAAGGAAGAACAAATTGAACTAAAGAAATCGGACTCGGAATGACTTTTTCATTGAAAACTACATCGAACACGAAAAAGCGTTGGCGAAGCTCATTCTATATACGAATGGCAGAGTTTTGCGCGCGACAATCTTTTTATACATGTCTTATTCATCGCACTGAACACCCGCGGCTAGCTGGCGCGTCGTTGCTCGCGGCCGCTACGCAACTGGCAATGATATCACGATATACCTGCGTTATACTGTACTCACTCCGTAAGATACATCGCGCAGCGCGTGTCATCGCCACGGCGCAGTCACCTCCCGGTCTCCGCGACGATGTGCGGCTGCTGCTGCTGCTGCATGTCAACGCGTAGGAGCAGGAGAAGGAGTCGTCTATGCGTCGCCTTGACAAGGGACAAACACGGCGAGCTGTCGCTGTTGCCTGCGATGTGCAATGATAAAAAAGCTCTCGACTGCGCGACGATATAACTTGCCCATTGTCTCTTTCTCTCTGCACCCGCGACTCGCTACAACGTTATCAGTTTTTCATCGTTACATATTTTTTATATACTGCTTGTAGGGCACGCTAGATGTGATTTTTGCACTATATATAGTCTTTCGCGTTGCACTCGCAGGAGGACGACTTATCTCGGTCTCTTGGCTCTCGTTACTGTCGCTGCGCTGCACCACAATGCACGTGCGACGACGCGCGCATTTTATTGCTCCGCAGCTTACCATAGGACTACATTGGACTTTAGGACTTCTCTCCTCCCTGTCATATGTAGCATGTTACAATGAGCTCGTCGCGTGCCCGCAGTCGTCTGCTATCGATCGTAACTATGACAATGTAACACCCCGCACGCCACTCCCGACATGTGCTGCAGCCAAATCGCCATAGGGCGCGTGTAAAAACCGCAAGGATAATGTCTATCCGCGTTTCGCCTAAATCTAGCTTGTAATAACATGAATGAACTTTTGAAGTTAAGCTCAATGTTTCTTTTTTCTTGTTCCTATTTTTAAAGCTGTTTCTTTCGAAATGGAAACTGATCAGTGTGTTTGTCATAGAACATTTGCAATAATTCCAAAGACCATCAAATATTAATTTGCAGGAAGATTATCTGGTGACCCCATGACAATGTTATAGGGTTCCCACTGGACGCCATAATAATCATAGCCGGCTGCGCGCACCTGCGATACTTGCTACGCTCCGCTCCTTCGGCTCCGGTATTGTTGCTTATAACAGCAGCAGAACACGACTCTCCAGTAGTTGTCAAACCAAGAATTCGTCTGCAAGTTTACGTCAACGGAATACTCAAATGATCAACTAAACTTTAACAAAGAATGCTCATTTAAAGTAACTTCTCGTTTATCATTCACATAATCATCAACATGAGTAATCAGTACGACGCTCAACTGAAGCGGCTGCTGCTGCCTCAAGAAGAGACGCTGTTCGAGCAGCTGATACGCTACGGACTGTACATCGGGGCAGTTTTCCAGGTGGCATGCATCCTGGCCATCGTTGTCTACAATGGTGTTTCGTCCGACAGTATAACGACCCTCAAGGACGACCCGAGCGACATCGAGTGCTCCGAGAACAGTCCGCAGGTGACACCGCGGCGGCCGCACAGGGCCAGGAAGCAGGAGAAAAAAAAGAGACGCTGATTTCGTGCGTGGTCAAGTGATGAAACTGAGCGTGCAAGTACGTTTATGCGTACGGCGAGTGAATCCACTTTTCGTAGTCGTCATAATATTAGAATGAAACTTGTTTTTGTCTGTTTGTTTGCTCGAGCATACAACTTCTCGTTTAATTTGTAAGGCGTATTTAAGCCATACTTTTAAGATGATTCACATGCTTTTGTAAATACTTGTATACCTAATAAATGTTCTCTTCTCACTGGTCACTTCAGAGCATTTTAAGAATCTCCCACAGTAATTAAAATTGTATAGAATTTTACAAAGAAATAAATGTCAATATTAAAATTTATAAAGTTTCGGTAATTTTATTTATGAATATAACTACTTTTTAATATAAAAACGATGGTTAAAGTCAATATTCAACTTTCCACTTTCAATATTTACATATATACATAAAACAAGATCTATGTTAGTATATAATTCATTCGTCAACTTCGTCATTTAATTCTTCGCCTTCCATTTCTTCAACTTGTTTTCTCTCACTAAGTGACATCAAGTACAGCATTGTATATTGATTGAAATCACATCTGAAATGAGAAAAATGTATCCGTGAATTATTTTGAGAGGATTATAATACCCATCTATTTAATAATTATATTATATTTTTTATATAATTATAAATATTTTAACTGAATATACTTTAGTTTCAACTTACATTTTACTCAAGTCATCATATTTTCTTTGTAAATTCTTCTGTAGCGTCATTAAAACAGGTGAGTGTAAACAGTTGTTTCTTTGTCCATTTTCAGTTAGCAGAGCTTTTACCCATAACAAATAGAATTCAAAGTGCTTCGAATTTTCCATTTCACTAGCCAAAAATTTCATTAATCTTTCTACGTAATTTTCATGCAGATTAGACACTGTTAATGAAACTGAAAAAAAATTTTTTTATTGTAAATTTGCATAAAAGAAAAAAAACAATTTTTGTTAACGTACTGTCATTATAGGGAACATTTTCAACTACTTCTCGAATCAACTTCAACTCGTTCAATTTCAATGACATCATAAGAGCTTTGGTATATTCTTTTTCTTTCAGCACTGCCTTAAGAGTCTGTGGAGTAATGCCAATTTCTAACTCATATGGATCAAACACCATCCCCACATCAAGGGAAAATAAAATCAATCCTTCTGTAGTTACAGCACCCCAAGCTTGACCTAATTAAAATCAAAAACATTAATTTCATATTTTTTTATAAACCAATTTTAATTTTTACAAAAAGGTTATCATTATTTACCTGTTGGGGCAAATTGTAAGTCATAAACCCTGATTTCTGGTTTAATACTTCTGCTAGCCATGTCGCCTTTTCTTACACCTGGTAATCTCAAAGTGACTTTGCCGCCTTCTGTTTCTTCACGCTCTTCAACCAAATTCATATTACCGAATTCAGTTAGTTTTCTCCTATTGATAAAATCCTGAGAAAAAATGTTTTATTTGTTATATGAGTATAATCAAGAACCACAATTTTAATTAAAACGTGAACTTACATCTACTGCATCCATCGATCGATTTTGTGTGATTTCAAATTTCTTGATAAGAATCCCTTCTTTGACATTATAAATGCAGACATTTTTTGATTGCCCTCCAGCAATAATATATTCTCCATCCGCAGTATATGACAAAGATGTAAAGGCTCTAAAATCGTTAAAAATGGATGTTAAAACAGCTTCTAAAAATTATTGAATTAGATATAAATGTAATACTTACTTTCCCTGCAGACTTTTTTTAGCAGTTATCAAATCAGTGTCAGATCTGCCACTACCTAAATCTTTTCTACCTTCAATAGATGTGATTTGTGTGCCACTTCTACAATGGAAAAATGATATTTGTCCATCAAGAGTGGTAACTGCAACTTCTTCTCCATTAGGTCTGTATGTAACATACAAGGCATCAGATACCAAACGGATAGTTTCATGCTCAGAATTATTTTCAATAGCATTCCATATTTTCAGGGTTTTATCCCATGAAACAGAAACTAGTTCTGTGCTTGCAATGTTTGGATTAAATGCCAAACTTGTCACTGGTCCTTCATGTCCACTTAAAATTTCCAACAGTTTTCCCAACTTCACGCTCCAAAGATAAATTTCGAAGAAATCTTGTCCCGAAGCAGCAAGGAATTCATCACTTGAATCTAATGCCACACAAGAAAATTGAACAGGTCTTGGTGATGTAAATGTTTTGAAATTTCTGTACCTCAAAAGATCATATGCCCTGACTGTTCCATCATATGAGCAAGAAACAATGAATTTTCTATTTTTACTGAATAACACTCCTGAAATAGCTGAAGTGTGTTCATGGAATGTAACAGTGCAGAATCCGGTAGTTGTGTTCCACAACTTTAATTTTCCATCTTCTCCACCTGTTAGAATATACTGACCATCTGGGCTATAGGCCATACAGGTCATGTTACTGCTATGACCTTGTTGTTTCATGGCATAAGTTTCACTTTGCCATTCCCAAACTAACAACTGACCCAATTCTGAACTACCTAGAGCTATCCAATCACCAGAAGGATTTACCGCAATAGAAGAAATGCATTGATTTGACATACTAGAAAAATTTTATGATTTTAATTCACATTTCACTATTGATAGTAATAAATTTAGGAAATAATATTTACCTTAAAGAGTGAACCATGTCGACTTCTGGCATTGAATACAAGTAAAATGACCCATTGCTGAAACCAACTACTAAGATATGACTTTCAATATGATAAGCTGCTGCAGTCAAAACCACATCTTTATTTGCTTTTCTTGGATCATCGCACAAATAGTGTTTTGCTAATCTTTTATAAAATAATTTGTTAACTTCAGATTCAACTTCTTCAGATGTTGTATTTGAGACACTTGCTTTTTTCATTGTGTTTTTTACTTTTTCAATTGCTTTATCTAAGTCAACATCATCCTCCTCACCATCTGAATCTACTTTGACTTTCTTTTTTTTAGGTTTCAGTAATTCCAAATCATCTGGATCGATTGAGCATTCCCAGATACACATTTGGCCATTGACACTGATCGTTGTACAATCATAACTTTTCTTCTCAAAGAAACATCCTGATATGGCATGAGAATGACTTCCAAGAATATATTTCTTAAAATTCTGATATTTATCAAGACTATATAGCCTTGTAGTAGTATCCTTTGAACCAATAATTAATAGTTTAGAATCAAATGACCAATCTAAACAAGTCACATCATCAGTTGCATCATGAAATACTCTTTCCATGACAAATGGATTGTAAACACCAGATTCTAAACCAGGACTACTGTACACAAACACTAAAATGGAACATTGAATTTATTACTTTCTTTTTTTAATATGAAAATAATTAAAAGTGTACAGTTGTATTTTTTTATACCTGTTCTTTCTTTGGCAACAGCAAAAAATGTTCCATTTGGAGAAAATTTTACACAATTTACTTTTCCTTTGAATCTATGGGTGTGAATGGATTTTTTAGTAATCATGCTAATCAAATGAGCATCTCCAGCTTCATTAACTGCAAGCAATAACAATCCATTTGGTGATAAGCCCAGTGCAGAGTAATTAAATCTACTTTCTATCTGCAATGTCATAGATTTGTGGCTAAATGAACAGAAAAATGAATAAATATTCAAGATCTTATATTGGTTGTCAATTTAAATATTTTTATTCTTACTTTTTCAAATCAAATATTGAAATTCTGTTGCCCACTGGACTGATGACTGACATGCCATCAGGTGTAAACAACAAATCTCCTTTGTGGTACACTGCTCCCAACAAATTGCTAAACTGCAATTAGAAATAATTAGTTTAAAATATCGCATTGTTGAATGCAGACACATTTATTGAACAAAGTTTATGATAACTTCGATTATTTCATTAATATGTACAATAATGAAGGTTATAATTCATGTGTCTTAAAACTTCAACATTACTGCATGTAAAGCCTTAACACAAAAATTATTCAAAACTTTGTGAAATGGCTTACCTTGAAAGCGAATTTCATCTTGTAATAATCTAAACAAAACAAATAAAAAAACTAAATAGCCGATCCGTTGTTCAACGCTATTTCAAAACCCACGTGTTGTGCTCGAAACACAATGCTTGGACATGTGTGAATGTGATGTGAATTGAGAATTTGAATTACGATGGAAGCGCCATCTAAGTGCACATTTTAGCCTCCAGTTCAAAATTCAAGATCGACGCGGAAAAGAATTGAATTAAGTTTTGAATTAATTAGAATCAGTTCACGTTATCTCATTTAAATACAATTTTTTCAAATTTTTATTTTATTTTTTACATAAAATTTATTGATGGATGCATGTTTAAAAAAAAATAATATCACAACATCAATTACGAAAAAGCTTTTGTCAACTTATGTGTTTCTGTGGTGTTCTGTGGTTTTGTGGAAAATTATGGTAGAATTTTTGTTAAGTATGCTTATCTATTTCATAAAATTAATACAAAGCTTACTTTTGCCTACTATATATTATGTAGTTCCAAATGACAAAAATTACAAGCATCATGGATATGTAATTAATCAGAAGTAATAAAAGTAAACAAGCTCATAAGTGTCTTGAAGCTCTTTTTGTTAATTTTTATTTTATTTTAAATGTCAGCAAAGAATGTGGAGACGAATGAATTAAAGAACATTTATATTGCAATATTTAAAAAGCCAGTTTTTATTGAGAAAAAAAGATAAAAATTTCAAATAAGTCTCTCATGACAAATGAATATGATCTTTTTTTCGGTAGACAAATCGTGTTTGCAAACGTATTAATACAAAAACGATTGAGTATAATGAAAAATATATAGGATATAATTTTATCCACATCGGCGCGCCGGTATGTATACCTTTGCATAACTCACTTGTCACATCGATACAACAAAATGATCATACCGACCTATTATTAACTTTGCGATACATTATACATACATTATTTTGTTTTTATCTTAATACAATATACATATAACGTTGCCCGGCCGTGTCGCTACGGTCATGCTCAGTATATGCTCGTGTAACTCGATAAAATGCTATATTATCGCTGCACTTCTGCTGCAATTCGTAGTTTCTCACAATGCGTTTTTATCGTCCTCACTCTTATCATGTCTAGTACATCATACATTTATTATACTCTATGATATATTGAGACCCTCCAAAATCGATCACGGAGCATCAGCTCTCTTTGTCACTTTTTTCCCCTTTCGTTCGTTTCTCGGTTCTTACTTCCTATATCCTTTTTTGTTTCGAATCGGGTACTGAAATTATCGCAGAAATTACAATATGCCGTAATTGCTAATTGTTTGTGGGCATGGAATGAGGAGATTTTTTATAGCATAAACGAAAAGGCAACGCTTCAAACGTGGACGGAGAGGGACGAATTAGTGCAAGCTTACGTTTTTCGTTATGACTACGTTATTATGAGCTAAAAAGCATCGTTTAAATTCAAAATTTTGCACTTCACATACAATTTTACATTTTCCGGTCTTTATCGCTATACTATATAAATTTTTCGAAATAGTTTATTACACAAATTTTTATTCAAATCACAAGCAAAACATAAAAAGCACAATCAAGATTAATAAGATAATTTAAAATTAAATCCCTCACACGCATACATACACAATGGTCGTAAATATCATCAAATACGACAATAACACATAACTCACAGCAGTCCACGTCTGAGCGTTGGCGCGTAGATTTTTCAAGCTTCGTCAAACATAAAATTCACAAAAGAGTGCCAGTGCAAACAAAGTTTTAACAAAGTATAAGTTATGAACCTCATTGATAAATTTCGCAATGTTAATAATACGCCATCGCTTTTCTTTTTTTTCTTTAGGTCCTTCATAATCGTATTTTCTACTTAGTGTCTATGTTATAAACCTTACTTGTCTGTTATCATCATATACTGTATAAATGCAGCTATTTAATACTCAATTTTCTGGCGATCGATTGAATGAATTTTTTCCACTAATTCATATTTATCATATTCGTACAAATGTGTGAAAATTGTTTACACTTGTTATCTATTTTAATTTTAATCGAAAACTTGCTTTAACAGTTTACGCAGAGCTTATGAGTTACAACAAGTTTGACCAATCGTTCTTTCCACGGATTTTCCAGAACTAGTGTTCTGTCTCTCATGATTCTACAATTTATGTTCTTTTTATATTAAACATTGTTAATTACTTATTTAATTTGCCTTTATTTATTCATTTGTTAATTAACTTAGTTGCACGATTAAAAACTCGACGGTTGTCTTCGTAAATACCTCATTTACTAAATAGCATGTATACGAACAGCTTCTGATGTTAATCGTAAAAAATGGATCGAAAAACACGGAAAATTGTGGAAAAACTAAGCGATTGGCCAGTCGATTATGAATATACAGTGCGTTGGTTTGTATCAACTTGTAAATAGTAGAATCAAAAATAAATTATATCGTAGTGGAAGAGCCCATGTAGAATTATATTTACAAAAGGACATATTTGCGCGTGCATACACATATTTAAAACAAAAAAAATATTAATACTACCAGAAAGATCGATGTAAGTCAACACGCTACATTATAAGTTAGCTATGGCTAACATTTAAACATATGACAAAGAAAGGATATTTCTTTTTGAAAATGTACGATTAAAATGATTAAAAATTACAATTATTCAGTTACTAATACGTCTTTACTTAAATCAAATAATTATGTCAATAGATGTTATCGATCGATATTTTTCAACATAAAAGCACAAAAGCATCATATAGTGCCATGTTAAGTTTATGTAATTTATACAAATATATAAAAAGTATAAAAAGGCGAAGAAGTTTTTTATATCCAATATTTCCACATTCTCATTGTTGACTTTGAATTTTGCATTCTCCATTTTTCAGTAAAAGACATGCCTCCAGCTTTCTTTTATGGTCTCTCATTGACACTTTTTACTCCTTGATTTTTATTCATTATGATTAATAACTACATTTTATTTGTTAACTATGGATTCTTCTCAAAAATTGCTCGCAAAAATTTGTTCGTCATGTCTAGACTAGAAAAAATTCGTTCTCTCGATGATCCACTGCGATAAAAGTAGCTACTTTGAGAAAAAAATGCAGAGATGTTGAAAATGCTTTAATTAAAAAGTCCTCTAAGTCTGAATGATTCATTTTTAAAAAAGTTTAAATCTTATTAGGTCATCATAAACTACTGCAAAAGGCAGTGCAAAGTCGAGATAAACGATCAAGGACATCGACGACTTTAAAATTCTCCCAAATATTTTGCACAGTTTTTTCAATACTAATTAGTTGTTTGACTTAAAGATTAAATTGAATTGTAACTTACTTAGCCAATATTGATCCTTTCACAAAAAATATTTTTTTGTACATACGCTAACAGTACTTTTGTAACATCCAATCACATTTTTTTTTAATTTCAATTTTTTCTGACAAATTTACAAAAAAGTATGACAAAACGTACATACTTTACATAACCATAAACTACGTAAAATAACGTATTCACTCTTTTTCTTTCAAATAGTTAACTACAAATACATAGTTATCATAATAGAAAGAATTTTCAGATATGAAAGTGTAGTTTATCAGCTAAAAATAAGGAGCGGGTACAATGCATTAAACACTTAATCCCTAATTATTTCGGTCATCTTAAATTTATTCAATTAATTTGTCAATAATAAATTGAGATTACGTATAAGAGTCAGCAAAGTTTATAAAAGAAAATTTCCTCTTCATTATAAATTAAGTACGACAATTTTGTTTTGTTTTTGGTGCAAATTTGCTACTATAAAAGTATCAATTTTTCAGTAATGCTTTGAATTTTGACAGATAATAGTTAGAAAACTGTTCTCTTTCAAATAATGATCATGGTTCATGTCACTATTTGCATTGAATTTTTGACAGTAACAACATTAGGTCAAACTTGCTTGAACTATTAAGTCAAGCTTACATTACTTTCAATGTTTCTCTGATACGTATCTGATCACGAAATACAAATAAAAATATTCTAAAGTTACTGTTTAATCACTAACGAACGTCCTGTGCTATTAAAATATGTTTACAATTCTTCCATGTACAATTTTATGAACGGTCATTAAAATCGAATAGTGTGGAATAATTTCACACTTAATAATGTGAATACTTCATAAAAATTCTTCATAAATTCGACATCAAGGTAATTTTCAATTATCCTTGCTTTGAATGCAAGTTTTTCAACACTACGAGTTACAATTTAAAGGTTTTAATTCGGAACAAAAATGAGTACGACATAGGCATTGATATCAATTCAATTTGCTTTTGCCGTTGGCAGTATAAAAATTGTACCCTAATATCAAGGTAAGTAAATTTGCATTCTTTATGAGATTGTCTGATTGTATTGTGCGTGTTGCGCATCATCTTGGTTTTCAACAATTCAATCTATTCAAACTCAATTTTTGCTCTTTCAACTCGCAAGAGTTCAAGGAATTAAAAACTTTAGAAATTGTATAAATTTTGCTCGCTGTGAAATTAAATGCATTAAATCAAAATTTGAATTTAGAAAAATTTCAAGCACAGTTACATGAAATATTTATTCCAAACTGTTATAAACGTCTGACTAAATTTAAATGCAACGAGCCCGCGTCCGTCTTTCTGATGATTTCATATCTGTTTAGTATCAAGCTAGATTAACGTACACAAGGCTAGATATACATGGATATAACTACACTACTTTCGCGAGTATATAATAAAATCGTGCATATACACCTATATGTCTGTCGATGATTATCCGATTGAGCTATCTAGTCAAATCTCTCGGTCTTTTTCCTTTTTCATTGCCATTCATTGGCTAGATCACTTTTCTTATTTCCAACTGCATTTTGTATGAAATTATCTTCTATTTAATTCGATTTTAACAGCTAGAAAATACAAAAATATATGTGTTATAATCCGCATTAAAATTGTCTTCGTATTTTTCACCTCAAAAGTAAACATGAATACTCACCATCGACGATTTCTTGCTTAATTTTCATGAATTCCTTGCGAATGTCCTTCATGATTTCTGCTTTCCAAGATTCCAAATCCTGTGCAGTGAGGGCAGAGCCTTCGTTGACGCCGTTGACTTTCAAAAGTGTATCCTCGGATGCCGAGCCGAATCTCTTACGATGAGCTTTCGGCGATTCCGCACCATTGGTGAATTTGTTATTGCTAGCGCTGTTTGAGATCGTAGAATTATTCTTCTCCCATGACTTTTTGTCGGGCGAGCTTTCGGGTTCAGGCTCGGGCTGTTTTTTCTCCACAGCGGCTCGTCTGCGAGCCAGTGTTTTGGCCATCTCGACCATCATGGCCGAGGGCATGCTGTTGCCGTCGCCGCTTCCAACGCTTCCTCGACCCAAAGTACCGTAATTTCCGCTGCCACTACTGCTCGTACTCGATCCACTATTTTCCGACTGTCCCTATTATTCGAAATAAAAATGATATAAAAGTTAAAATCATATGGAATGACTCATGGTTAATAAATTGATTTGAATGCACGTAAGTTAAATTAAGTAATAACGTGTGTCACTGTCAGGTCTTGAGGAAAAAAACTAATTCAACTATGAACCAAACAAAATTATGCGTAAAGATGAGATGTTTATTGATTGCGCTAAGAAATCTCAAAGAAAATGAATGAATAAAGAGGTTTTATATGAGTGACGTGTTACCTGAAACCTTCCAAAGGGCAATCTGTAGGAGAGCTTTTACGAAAGTCGTGAAAATTTTACTGTATTTTTGCAATTAGTGTCTCTACGAGTTTCACGAATTTCCAAAATTAATGAACTTACACACAGAGCATGTTCAATCGACGAATGTTTGCATAATAGTCGTTAAAGAAGAGTTACTTAATGAAACCATACGAATTTGTGTAATTATTTTCTGAGATCTTGAGTTAGTCATCTTCATAAGTGTCTCCTGTACGTACTCGTCCAGGTGGTAACGTTTTTCAAACGGAATAAAGACAGCTTACCGATTTCTTTTTGAGCTTGGCCGCTTGGATGGCAGCGCACAAGGAGTTCATGTCAGGTCCCTGCGGGCCATCTTGACTGGGCGCTGGCGGAGGTGGCGGCGGTGGCGGAGCGCCCGCCGCGGGCATAGCCGGTGCCATTGGCGGCGGCGGCGGTGGCTGGGGCTGCTGTGGCGGTGGAGGTGGCTGTGGCTGCTGCGTCTGCTGCTGCTGCTGGGCCGATTGTTGCGGCTGAACCGGCACGCTAGGTACAACGGAATTATAAGCTAAGCAATCGTTCGGGTAGAGGGTCTGATTGACGCTATTGGCCGGCGTGCCGTACGGGTTGTGGAGTACGGGACTACCGGCGACCTGCTGCTGTTGCTGAACATAGGCTGCGGCTGCGGCGGCGGCCTGCGCCTGACCGTAAGGACTGCCGCCGGTGCCGTTAACGGGCAACGCTGCGTACTGGCTATTGAGCGAGGCTCGACTACCGTATTGACTACCCGCGCCGCTGTACGGGTACGGCTGCTGTTGCTGCTGTACCGCCGCTGGCTGAACGCCCACTACCCCCGACTGCTGGCCGCCAGTAGTCCCGTAAATACCGCCAACCCCCGAGCTCGTCTGTTGCTGGGCGTACTGTTGCAGCCCGTAGTTGATCATGTTGGGCGGGCAAGGTGGTGCGACCGGTGGTGCCGGAGTCTGTGCCTGCTGCGCTTGCTGCTGCTGCTGTTGTTGTTGCGGAGCCGGTGGCATCGTCTGTTGCTGCTGCGGCTGCTGCTGCTGCTGTTGCACTCCTCCGGGGGGCGTTGGTCCTGGTGGTGCCGAAGATGTCCGATGGTGACCAGTTTGAGCCGCCTGCTGCTGTTGTTGTTGGAGATTTATCGCGTTTGGCGGGCAACTCGGAGAAATTGCGTTGAGACCGTTGACTGTAAAATGATTGTCTAATTAGTACCACGTCTATCCGCATGGCTATATGTTTATTGTACGATTCATTTCTACCAACCTTGATTCTGTTGAGACATTCTGCGCTCCTGTAGTATCGCCACGTCCTCTCTTGTCATGGTGCTGAAATTACTTTAATGAGCGATCTCGAATCAAAAATTATTTTCTAACGCTGTGAATACTTTTTCATCTTATCTGGAGCTCGTAAAAAAGGGTGAAAAACAAATTTTCCACGAGATCGTTCGACGCGTTGAGGTCTAATTGTTCATGAAGTTGGGGCTAAATGTTATGCACGAATGGCAAAAGTATTCACAACGGACAAATATCATTAACTATTGCTCTCAGAATTTCGTCCGGTAGGAGTCTCATTCTCATTCCTCCATATTCCTCGTCGTTCCTTATGCGAGCGATAAAATTAAACGATTGAAAAAGCCGCAAAACATTTTCCTCGTATATACAACGTTCAAAGTTTCGCCTCGCTCGTCACGACAATTGTCGCGTGCCGCGATCGCGTATCGCAATAAATTCGATCGTCAATAACAATGATCATAACGTCGACAAAGCCGGTGGTATTTGCGCTCTCGTCGTCGATAGATGAGTTCGTAGAGTACGACGCGCTGAAAAAGGCACGGCTCCGCTGCAGAAGGCCACGCGAGGCACGCATAGCTTGGCTTTTTACGCATTCTATACCAGAGCCGTCGTCGCCGCATCAGAAACAAATTGTCATAGTCGTCGACTCTCCCCTTCACTTCCGATAGCAAACGTGACGTTTAAACGCTTCTTTTTATATAGAGATGGATGTATATATATGCTCTCTGCGTTAAACTTTATATCGTCGACTCTCTCGAGTGAATATTATATAGCCGAGATGAGAACGCGCGTGAAACTACACAAGCAAGTCGCGTGCATAATACCACGTTGCCGCTTACCGATATCCCATGTCTTCTTCGTACTGTCCATTTGGCTGCTGTTGCTGCACCATCTGCTGCTGCTGCTGCTGCTGTTGTGGAGCTTGATACTGCATCTGCTGTTGTTGCTGCTGCTGCTGCTGTTGCTGCTGCGGCGTGATTTGTGGTAGCATACTAGGTGGTAATCTCGTACCGTTGGCCAATACCTGTTATAATTGATATGTACACGATGTATAATAAACGAAGAGTTGGCTGTATTTTTTTAAGCGTATGTACACGAATCGATTATAAGTCGGAAAATATATATATTCATGCTCTGATAGTCGCTCGCATGATCATATTGTATTACGATCGGTATTGTGCGTGCAGGTGTGTGTGTGTGTGTGAGCATGTATGCGCTATAGTTCAGCAATCCAATACTCATCGCACCTAGATACGTGCAGGCGGAATTGATGACGCGAAATTAGGCGTGCGTGTGGTTATACGCATGCTTACACGCATACACTCGCACACACGAGCGCATCTTGGAATCGAGGCGCAAAAGAACAAAACATTTTTTAGAGCGTTAAGACGCTCATTTGCAAACGATCGCATAATACGCACGAGGTCTAGGCGTATCGGCATTTAAAAAAGAGGATACACGCGCTCGCGGCCGAGCGAGCGGCTTTCTTCGAGTCAGTCATCCGAAATTGGAATGAAGCCAAAAAAAGAAATGCGAAACAGAAAAAACGGCTTTATTTTATATGCCAACAAGTGAATTATAAAGGCCCGGGGATAATTATAGAAAAGATCGATACGCCACGACCTGCTGGCTGCTCCTAATATATACACGCACACATAGATGCTTGCAGAGTCAAATAAAAAGCCGCCAATCATTTATTTCGGCCTTTTTTCGGACTGCGTTACGGACAGTGGTATTTTTAAAAATTTATGATTAAGCAATAATTTAGGCAGCAAGATTTTACTGCTTTCGCTAAAATTCTAGATTGATGTAACATATAGATAGAAGTTGCATTAGCAAAGAAGGGTCAAACTTGAACTTTGCAGGTGAAGGTTTTCTAATTAACCGGATGAAATTTTGATACATTTTTAATAAGCAGTTTAAAAATTATAGATGCAAAGGGCAAGTTAGACTTTTAATAGTTGGTCCGAGCCCTGATATTCACGTGTTTTTTACAAAATTTGATGAACGAACACATTTTTTAAAATAGAAAATGAGATCATGTTTTTCGAATTAAAACAAGTCCAAACGTAGAAAACACAATACTATAAAAATTAGGTCTCGTAACTATTCTGTATTATGAACTTGTATAAATTGTCTAAAAAGAAAACAGAGCCAGTTTGAGTTTATTTTTATTGCAGACTACGATCGGAAGCACTCAAGACTTATAAGGACCGAAAAATGATCACTCAAATTCATTATCTTTGATTGCTATCCTATACTCGAAAGGTTTATTTACTTTTTAACGAGTTGAATTTTATTTTCGACAATTACGTGCTACTGCTTGCTTTGTTGTCACGGCCCAAAATCTTAACAAAGAATTGAAGTTGAAATAAAGCAAGACTTACATCGAGAGCTTGTAGCATGGCTTTGGCGAATGCATCGGCATCGTCCTTGCTCGAAAAGTTCAGACCGTAGATCTGCTTATTGTCGCGCCACTGGTGAAAGGTGACGGTGGCTTGATTGTACTTGAGGCCGCGCAGTATCGCGCAGTTCATCACAATCTCGTGGTCCTGCAGTTTGCGGCCGACCACGCGAAACGTATTGTTGACCTGGTGATGATAGAGCTGCACCTTGGACAGGCCCGACGACGAGCCGGACGGCACCCATCGTTTGTTGGCGTCGTCGTAGACCATCACCGAGGCCCGAGCCGACGATATGCTTACTTCGCTGTAAATTGAAAAAAATCAAATTAATTGACTTTTGCAATGGGTTTCTATAAGGCGTTTGTTTACTTTGTAAATGAAAAGTTATTCGAGATGATAAAAGATTATTATATGTGTGCACGGTGAAGGGATACGAAGGACGCCAGAATCATACACGCGTGTGGATAAGAGGCGACGCGGTGATGTTGGTACATCGCTACACGATTTCACTTTTCATAATTATATTATCGATTGATTTACTCTCTCGTGCTCGGTGAAATAATCGATTTGTGTATTATGTACAGGTAGCATACACATCGGAAGTTAAACTGTGCAAACCCATCCCATATAAAGGAGGATATTATGTTTCCTCCCATCGGAATTGAGTTTCTCGCTTGTGTATCTGTTATTAAATAACCTTTTTTATTTACTTTAAATACGTATTTAAACACTATTGAGACATTATCGTAGTGAGGATGAATAATTCACGATGGCTGGGTTCAAGAAAGAGAGTTGAGGCGAGAAAAAGTAACGCGCGGAGTGTTATAATACCGTTTAATCGACGAAACGAAAGCGAAATATAATGAAACGTTGTCGCCATTGTATAGGTATATCATATATAGCTGCGCAGCAGTAGTGTCTATTATGCCATTAAAGGTGCTCTTTTTTTACGCTCATACTTGTGCCGGCACTAACGACGCCTGAGCATCTCGTTATTATGTGCAGCTTGTCGCGTTTGGATCGCGGCAGTTGCATTTGTATGTGTTCCTACACGCATACCGATCGCATATATGCGAAATATAATAATGAAAAACTGCTGATGAACTAGCTTTTTCGTTAGCCTTGGCACTTTTTACTTATACACGCGTAATTAGATATCAACAAAATCCATTTGATATTGCTCGATACGCCCAGACGCGAACGTCGTATATTATATTTTATTGTACGTGGTGTGGCATCAACACGCGTCTTTGTAAACGCGGAAAGCTCGTAAAAATTGAGAAAAAAAAATTAAAAGACGAGGAACGGAATGAGCGCAGTTGCATTTTATGTGTATCAACAATTACTCATAGACCATTTACCAGGCCTATTCATCGCGCGAGGCGACACGATTGTTTATCCATAAGGCTGAGAGCGCGCAATATGCAGCAGCAGCAGCAGCGGTTGTAGTCATAAAGAAACTCCTTATGATCCGGTTGGCAATTGCGTGTCTCGTGCGATGATTTCAATTCTTCGATAAGAGAGGCGAAGAGTAAGAGAGAGAGAGAGAGAGAGAAAAATGACAGCGAGGAGATTTGAATACGAGTCGTCCTTGCGCACGGTATGAGCTACCGAAAGACGACTATATTATATCGATGGCTCGATGATCCTTGACTATCTACAAAAGATAATTAGGCCGCGCAAGGTTCTATACTCGAATCGCATGCGATTTTATATCGGTCGTACTCGTAAATTGTAAATACAACACGATAAAGCCGTGTACTTGTAATTTCCCAAAATTATCCTGGACTTTCACCGCGTGTATACGTATTATACATTTACATACGTATACAAAGGCGAAAAAAACAAGAGGTAAGTATACATCAGCGGAGCACGAGCTTTCTATGTAAACTAATATCGCTTTAGAAAAATTCTCGAACAAATACACGGCTCGTCCAGCAAGTGCTTTTTTCATCTTTTATTCTTCTGATTTTTTTGTACTGCGTACAGACGTACATAGAGCTTATTGCAACATCCTGAGCCGTCTCTCATTGAAATCACGTGCTCGCTATACCAATATGTGCTATTCGTCGAAGTGGTATTAGTCGAGGCGCGGAGCTCGCGAGCTGTACACAGTATACGTACAAGACGTTACATTGAACACATACATAAGCCATCGAGAGATCTGTAATCAACATTGGAGCAGACGATCTAATTTACGCCGCTGTAATGGTAGTCGGAATATAAAAATCGCTCTCAGCGCTGTCGATGAGAGCCGATCAATCGGCACGCTGTTGTCGATCGGCTGAAAAATATTATTTTCCAGTGCGCGGCGTACATAAAGTGTTTATCTCGCGTATAGCAGTATACTTATGCGCTCCGATTCCGACTCCGAAACGAGTATAGAAAAAAATGAAAAAAAATTTCGCACGCGCCCAACTCGCTCGCTCTCACGGCCACTACTATACTACTACTACGGTATACTGCATATAGTTGTACTATATATGCGCTATATGTCCCAGCTTCCGCGAAAGTCCGCCTGCACATTATGGACTGTATATATAGTTTAATGCTGTACGCTTGGTATACATGAATTCTGCGTATACACATAGCACGTAAAAGGATATAATACGAAGTCGCGGCGCTCGCGTTATATTTTCCGAACGCGATGGAAAGGATCGCACACGCGAGGATACCCAGATATTATACGTTGCGGAGTGCAGGCGGAAAATGCAAAACCACATTGAGAAAGTAGCTTTATATACCGAGTCAGAACGAAGCCATAATCCAGCTTGAGGCTCTCCGGCAGCTTTGTCGATGGAAAGGTCAGACGATTGGGATTGTCGTAAATGTTGCCGTTGTAGTCCTCGGTCGTGCTGATCGACAGACTCTTGGTCACGGAATCGCGATGCCGCGACGCTCGCTTTTTGTTGTTGTTCGATCTTCTCATATTGTACAGGGAGGAAAAGTCAAACGCACAAAATCCAGTCATGTTGGCCAATTTATTGATTCACAGATACGCATAAACAAAATAACGTACACACACTCGGCACGTTTCTGTTACGATACACTTAATCTCTAAGCACATGCAGTTGACTCGACGGGGACACGGCGTAAACACACTTGCGCGCACACACTGCGATACGCGTGTATATATTAGCACGCTTAAATATTATATATCACAAACACACGAGGCACGACGCCGGCACAAGACGATCACACATGTACATATATTTATATATTGTATAAACTATACATACAAAAGCGAGTAGCTGCTGTGGCTGCTACTGCTACTGACTGACTGACTGCGCTCCTAATAGTGAACGTGTTTATAAGAATAGAGCCTCTGAGCGCGCGCGCGAGCGAGCCTATGTCAGTGCCTCGGTGAGTGTGTGTGTGTATCTGTATATATTTCCGCGCGCTGGTGTGTGCGCCGCGCGCGAGGCAGCGAGAAAAGCCCCGAGAGCCGTATAGTGGCAGCAGCACGCAGTATACACCGAGCCGCGCTGCATTTATAATACAGTTAACATTTGCTCCTATATGTGTGTATACACACAACGGCAGCGTCAAACAGGATGAAAATGGGATGTGGCTCTCGTGTGATATTTCTCTCTCTCTTTCTCGTTCCCTTCCTTTCCATATATCCTACATACATGCACGAGCGAATGTCTGCTGCGCGCGCGTGTGTTTGTGTGCGCACGTTCTGCACTCTCGTAACGTTCGCTTTTTTTGTTGTTTCGTTATATACGAAGCCTAGACTGCAGTTATCTATCGCGAGCGAGCGAGCGAGCGCGATACGTTTCAGCGACTTCCGGCCTGTGCTCGCGAGGCGCGCGTTCGCCAACGATGCGACGACTCGCTGCACTGCATCGGGCACAGGCTCGAAGAGCTTTTAAAAAACTTGCCGCTGCTATACGCGTGGGCTCTTTAAACAAGCGAATACGTACACACGCGCGCACAGGGAGAGGCAATTTTTCACAGGAGATGAGATCCTTTTTTCTCCTCGTTACTTCACCTTATTTCGCACGCACGGCTTTCAAATGAGGTAACTAACTATATGCACGCGTAAAAGTGCAGGATATTTAATTCGGAGCCCGCGCGCGCGCTGTTACGAGGCTTATCAACGTCGAGTTGTGCAGCTTAATTTGGCTTTTATAAAATTAAATCGTGGGTAAGCCACGAAGGAATTGGCAAATTAATGCACGGGGGCACGCGCTCGTATTTTGACAGCGCCTTGATCGATGAGAATAACGCACGTCGGACGCACGCTAAATTGGCGACGCGAAAACGAGAAATAATAAAATATACAGAAGCGGTCCATAAGAAGCTTGTCACTCTCCTCGTGTTATTGTTTTGCTGCGCGAAGAGTATATACGTATCTATATCTCGCCTTGCTATTACTATCTAGTCGTATATGCCGGAAAGGAAATGATCAACGAGCACAGTTATAATTGAGTACGCATATATGTAAACAAGATCTTTAACTCAAAATTTTGACGATCTTGTAATTATGGGTCTCGTTGACAGGTAACGATCGAGAATAACGATGTCAGACATACGAAGCGGTTTCGACTGCTGTAAATCGATCATTAGATTGAAATAGACGAGTTGTGCGTTTGATTCGATAACAATCGTCTTGGTCCCAATTGTTCGGATATATACGATTACAACGAATGACCTGCATCGAATCTGAACATTTTCTGTAGCCTACTTTCTAAACTGACCTTTGACGCTTTTTCTAGTTTGCACGGCGCTCGCAAGTATAATATGTGGAGGTGATAACCGGAAACATGCACGATTTGGAACAAACTTGTCTAGTTCGAGAAGGGGTGGAGTTTCTAGCCGTGAACTCGTCTCGCGCGCACATCGAAGGAAATACGAAACCTATTAGCGCAGATTATCTATCGAAATGCGCGTGTCACAATATAAATAGGTGCATTGGCCATTGTTGTCCGAGAAGCCAAACAGATGGGTTTTATGCTTTGTAAACACATTTACCCAGTTTTAATCGAAATCGGTCATCGATCCCCGCAGCAACCTCTATATATTCGTAACAGACAGACGCACGAACATACACACACATACACACACCTGCGCGTGGGATGACGACGCAAAAAATTTTATTTTCTTGCTATCTGTCTCTCTACCTCTCTCTATCTCTCTCTTTTCTGCTCTCGAAAAAATGAGGGAAGCGATCTCATTCAGTCAGAAGTTAAAAGCCGAGGAAATTCAAGATAGTTGCTCGCTCGCTCGCTCGCGTTGCAAAATGCATTCTGGCGGCGATCAACCTAGTTTCCTGCAGGCTCGATCCAAGCCGCGCCACAT